TTCAAGGTGATCATGTTTGCAAAGTCGAACCTCAACGGCGTGGCCTGCACGTACTCTGGCGAAGATGCGTGCATGCCAGGGTCCAAGGAATGCTGTGCCGAGAATGATGCAGTTTACACGTACTTGCTTGCAAACACGCCGCCGGGAACCATCTCCTGGAACTTCGACAAGATCCTTGACTGCATGGTGGCATGTGCATTGGATTTCGGTTGCTGTTGCCTCATGGGTAGCAATCTGAAGAAAAGTAGCACCCATTGGACTCCCAGGAACCAGCCAGCAAAGGAATTTTTCCGAGGCTTTTATATTAGTATCACTCGGAGTTGTAGGTGCATCTGCTTCCATGATAGGCTCTCTCGCTGTGATGTAGCATCTTTGTACTTAGGCAAAGGACAAGCGCTTAGACTTCTTGGTTGTCTATGGTTGGTCTGCACGAAAGATGCTTGAGCTTTTGGGGCCATGTTATTGAAGGCAGTCGACACGCACAGGCTCTTGGATGACGGGTTTAATGTTTTTGCGCTTGACAGGATCATCACGGACCTGTCTGGCAAGCCCTATGCCGGCGAAGTGATTATGTGCCTCGATGGTCTCCTAGATCCTGTCGCAGCTTTCTGTTACACTATTCTGAATGCCATGAGAATGCAGCAGGCACGGTGGTGATGTCGATGCAGCCGTAAGCAATGTTGTGGACAGCTTGCTGGAGGCAAGACCTCATGCACTGGGCTTGTCTCCCTGCATCAAGGATTTGAGAACTAGACTCCAGTATGGTTCGCACTTCTCTCGCTGGAAGTGCATTTAAGTGCAGGGTGATGCGCCCAACTTGGCGGCGCTTCCCGATGCTGCAACCAAGCTTGGCTCGGTACTCTCGTGGCCTTGGCCGGCCTTGGCTGTGGCAGGCCAGGCTTCTGTTGCATTCTGAACTTCGGTGGCAAGCCCGGGCTGATAGATATATGAACAGAACAAGAAGCGGCGTTCCTGCTATATAATAAAGTAATAATACAGTGTAGTCTAATCCAATCTAATCTCATATACTATGTCGTAATTTAATATAGTATGAGATAACATAATCAACTTTAGTATAGCATAACATATCATAACATGATATACTATACCATAATGCAATGCATTCCTTCACATGTAATATGATACAATCACAATAAGAGCATCTTCTATTTTCTGGTTTGTTCTATTAGGATTAGATGATATAGCATACATATACATACATACATACAT